TTACTGAACTGTTCTTAGGACTCCTCATTCAGTTGAATGTCAGAGGGCTAGAGTCTGGGAAGGAAAGAGGGTGGTGACTTAAGAGTACTGTAATATCCTGCTTTTATGTGCTACAGACAAACTGAAGAGTGAAGATGTTTAATGCAAAGCCAGGGTGTTGTTTCTTGTAGGGCTTAGACATTTGGAATCTTGGAAAGATATACCATTGGTTGCAGGGGAATGGGTGAGAGTGAAGACCAAGTTAGATGTGTCAATTAATTGCAAGTGTGATTGAGCTTTAATGATGTGTGTATCTCCAGTATTGGAAGAGAGAAACTCCAGGTACAGGTCTTATGGTCAGTGATAATCAACTCTGTGCAACCAGGGTGTGTCATAGTCGTCTTCAACTTAAATAACATGCCAGATCATAAATAATTTGTTCTAGAAAGGCTTTTGTTTTTCATAGCTGGACTTTTAGACTCTAAACTGGAAGCATGAAGTTGCTCTTGAAGTGTGTGAGTCTTTGCTGGCCAGCACAGGTGGCCGTTGGTGTGATTACAGCAGTAGTTTGGGGTTTCATTGCACCTCACGTGCACGTTCGGAGGTCTCTGGCTCTGGCAGTGAGTTGTGTCTTTTATTTCTGAGTATGGCTGAAGGTGAAATCTTCCATCTTTTGCAGCTGGAAACAATGTGGAGGTAGATGAGTCTTTGTTCCAGGAGATGGATGACTTGGATCTGGAGGATGACGAGGATGACCCAGACTACAATCCTGCCGACCCGGAGAGTGACCTGACCGACTAATGAACTGTCCCCGGAGAGGCTTGACTGCCACAGCATCTGTGGCTACGCTGAGAGGGTGTTGATTTTCCTTTCTTTTTTCTAAGAAAAAATAATTTCCAGGAGAATATTCTTCTGATAGCTTTCATCATTGAACTTAATAAACTGATCTTAAAATTTCAAATATTAAAATGTTCCTTTCCTCTTATTGGTGGGAAGAAGGTCACATATTGAAAGTCATTTAATGTTGGAGAGAGATCCTGCCTGTAACACCAAGACCAGAAGATTGGCTGCTGCTGTGCACAGGTGTGGGTTTACATATAGGGGCTGGACCAACTTGGAGCTTCTGTGCTGGGGACAGTGGTGGCTTTGGACTCTAAGGGTTGTCATTCATATAAGATAGAAGACTGCGGTGAACAGAATAGTAAACCTCCTGAGTTCTAGCCTTAGGGCACGATAAATTTAAGTCTTAACAAAACCAGAAGCCCATATTATAGTCAGGAATAAAATGGACTCTAGTCCTATAGTAATATTTGAATCAGAATCAGTTGTGGAATTATTATAAAGTGTGTACTCCTAGGCCTTTCTCAGTTTAAATTAATAAACTAAACCTCAATCAGAATTTTAAAACTGAAATCTGCCAGTGATACAGGTGATTGTGATGGACACCCCTGGTTACGAACCACTATCCTACAGTTGTCTATAAGGTACGATGTTCCCTGACTTCTCATTGACCAGGCGGAAGTGGTCTGAATTCTTGGGGTTGTACACTGCCTGCAAGAGTAGCACACATCTGTTTTCATGTACCCTTCTTAATAGTTTGAAATGATTGACCTGGGGGCTTCAAGTAGGAAAACTAGGCTTCATGCAACTTATCCAGTCACTGCAGTTTTGGAGAATTGACTCCTAACCCTCATAGGAAATCACTTGTACTATTGCAAATAGCTGCCTCCATTCAAAAATGCATATGCTGTATACCCACAAATGCAGTAATGTCAATCCCACGTTTAGTTTTGGAGTCAGACCTTATGATCAAAATGAAGTTAAGACAAAACTATCTTTGAGAAATTCAGTACTTTACACCAGCGTTGATCATGGCCAACAAAAAGGAATAGCAGTAATTTTAAATATTATTGTGCAGAGAGAAGTCCAAAAGTTTGTTATGTGAGATTTTGCTTTTTGTAAGGAGAGATGCTTTCTGCAGTTGGTCAGAAGTTGCATAAGAACCTGAAAGAATGACTCAGTTAAGGTTAAGAAAAGCAATGGTGAGCAACGTAGCACTGAGGTCAATGAGGACTTGACCTTGAAATGTCAAGAATGATTCCACTTGCAGCTCACATAAATTTTTAAAGTCTACATTTTATAGGTTTTCTTCAGGGAATTGAATTTCCACCTTTGTCATTTCAGAATGTAGGCAGAATCTAATGAAATAGAAATGAAGACAACCTGTTTAGTTCTAATAATACTCCCCAATATTTTCATCCAGAGTAAATATGAACTTTCCTGTTGGCTCTGTATTCTGGGAATTAACCAAGGACTTGGCTTCTCAAACCGGAGTACACATAATCCCAGGATGTATAACAGCATGGCTAGCGGTATTTGGCGCAATAATTGGCCCATCTTGGATGATCAGTTTTGCTCTCGGATTTGGGAAAATTTTTGTTTTCGTTTTTCTGCTCTTACTGTGTTAAAAACAAACACAAATATGTGTATTAATTGTTGTACCCTTGGAACAATGGCACTGCAGAGGTACCTAATTGTTGAATGAATGAATTACGGAATAGAATACAAAAATCTCATGCATTTTAAAGGTAGAATATGAAAGTTCAAAGAAATGTTCTGTCGGCCATCTGCAGCTTTGAATAATGCTTCTAGATTCTGTTACTTCACGTTCTGCCAGCAAGGATGCCTTAGGGAAAAAGTGGCTAAAAACTAATCTAAGGCAACACATCCGAAAGGTTACATGAACATTTCCTAGTTGAGGTAAAACCGAGAGAGATACCAGTAACATCTCTTACCAGTGAAGAGGATGAGATCATCGGTTGTACTGTCACAACCTCCAGAGATAACATGTGCCAAGAGGTAAAGAGATACATTCTTGGATTCAAGAAGAAAGGAGATTGTGGGTGTTCAATATTTATGTGCTAGCCCATTGTTAGGTGTTATTGAGGTGTGAACAGAATGTAGGTGAACTACAAGTAGCTCAGTGTTTGTCTTTCAGAGAATATACATGACAGGCAACAAAGGGAGGCATATGATTATAGGTCAGAATGAGTCACGAAGTTCAGAATTGTATGGAGTAATTTGAGAGATGCCATTGAGTCTAAAGTGATGGGAAGTTTTTCACAGAAGAAGTGTGAGTTCATATAAATATGTAAATGTGAATGATACTAGCTTCTTTGCTGCTTTAGGCCCTCCTGTGTCAGGGTAACAATTGGCAGAATGCTGCCGAAAACGTGTATTGTGAAGTTTGTAGGCTTCTATTTCATGTTACCTTTGTTGGGCAAACTCATCAAAGGACTTGGAAAGAAAGGAGGTAAGTTGGATGCACTGAATCCCCTTCGTTAGTAAAAGATGGGAAAATGCTGGTGAAGGTTCAAGAATATAAAGGGTCATCAAACCAAAAATTCAAATAACAGTGCTATGCAGAACTATAATGGCACCCGAGGTAAAAGGAAAAATCAGCAATTATTTAAAGTTTAGATATTTCACTTTTCATGTATATTAATTTTCATTTTCAAAAGTACTGCATTAAAATATTATTTATCTTAGTTACAGAGTTTTATGCATCTCCTTAAATCTTGCACCTGAGGTTAAGTGCCTCACTCACCTTACCGTCATCCATGGTATTTCAAAAAGGCTCTCAGGGTTTCCTGGTCTCCATCCCCAAGAATATTAGGTAGAAAGACCAGGAAGAGAAACGATGTAGAGCTTTCAGGTCAAATGGGCTTCTTGGCATAAATGAAAGTGCTCAGTGGACGAACAAACTGAAGCCATGTTGTTACCAGCCCCAAGCAGATGGTTAAGGTAAAGTAGTGAAGGGCATGAAATCACAGCAGTGTGGGCTGCAACCACGTGCCCAAGACTTTAAAAAATAGGTCATTGGCCTTAATCACATCAGTCCAAACTTACTTCAATATGATATAATCATCAGATAAAAATAAATTATACTCCAAATACGGTGGTATCTTTAATAGATTGATTTTTGTGGAACTCCTTTGACCATTTTGAAAATATAGATCTAGAATATTTTCCACCTATACTTTTGAAATAAACTTATTGATATTAATTAGGATGTATCTAGTGACATTTAAATTTTGTTTTTAAAGTATCAGACTGATTCATTTCTATTTAAAGGCCTTTAAGACTTTAGGATCTGTTACTAAAGGTATTTGTTTTAAAAGGTGAATACTGATGCTAATAAAGGCATGCATTTACTATCTTGTGTCTCTGATATTATGGGATTCTATTTTGAGATCGGAAATGTGTCTGTACATATGTATTTTTTTACATAGGGAGGTTAAGATTTCTCTCTTCCAGACCTCAGTGCTCAATTGATAATAAAGCAAGCACACTTTGAGCCAGCCCCAGGGAGCTTGCGCACGAAAGGAAAACAGTGAGGATTTAATACTTAATACTTAGTATTTTTGTTCACCACTGAAATATAACGTGTTGCTTGGTATGAAAATATCTGAGACGGTTCTGGTGAAAAAAGAGTGTGAATTGGAATAATGGGCTCGTGTACTAATTGTGGAAGTTTGAAAAGAAATAGCATAACCTCTGATCCTCAATTATTACACTTTCTTAACATGAAGAAGTTATTAAAAAGGAACATTAGTGACCGTGATCAAAATTGGTCAGTTACCAGTGAACTTCTTCACGGGGCCTTGTCTACAAATCTCTCTCACCTTTCCCACTCCACCGTCTTTCACCTTCATAATCCAGTAATAGGAGGCTCCTGAGTAGGAGGAACTTGAGACCTTAGCACAGCAAGGTCCGTGGTCACCAGCAATGGCTGCCAGTTTCATGCAACAGACCCCAGTGCTGGACGCCCAAGTGGAATGAGAAACAGCTTCCTGGAGGTCTGCAAAGCTCAAGGAGACAGAACATAGGCCCAACTAGAACCTCCCTCCACCAATATGCAGACTCTAAGCTTCTCCCATGTCATACATCCTTTTGGGAAGGAGGGACTATCTGTTAGGACAAGAGAAACAGCCTAACAGAGAGTTTAAAGTGCCTTAATTAACTTCACCTCAAGTCCATGCTTAACACTGGAGGAGTTATATGATCTTAATTTATAGTTTACTATTTATTTATTTTTCTTGTTAATGGGAAGGAAGATTTGAGAATAAGATGAATTAGTATAGAAAATAGAAAATAATTTTTTTCACACAGTGCTTAAGGCATGGAGTGTAATTTATTTATTTTGTTGTAGGAGAATTAAATTGAGATAATATAATTAAAGCCTAGTCTTGAATTTGAATCAGTGCTAGGAGGTAGGTTCAAGGTTGCAAGTCCCTTAGCTAATAAACAAGCTAATAAACAAGCATAATACTCTTAAAAATCCCTGTGGGTATGGAAATCATTCAGGTCCTGGAGTTATGCTTCAAGAATATTAGGAGTTAGTCAAAAAGATAGCAGTGCTTGTATTGGAGCAAGTGAGATGAACTTCTTTTATTAGTTATTTATTAGTTAGTTATTCATATTTTTTATGATGGAAAAAATAAGCAAAGATAAGCACATGCCCACACTTATGTGACAGGGTTGTGAATGGGAGAAATGAAATTTATGAGAATTTTATTCTGAATTACCACAGGATGCAAATACATTATTGCCATTTCTTAAGAAACTTTTGTTCATAATAGAGTCCCTTTTGCTAAGCACAAGGTGTATTCCTAAGACTGCCTGTTCTAGTGAATATATAAATGATGTTAAATTTAAATACCTCTTTTGAGCATGAAAAGGACAGTATCGCCATCTAGCAACAAAATTGAGTAGTCTTAAAAATGCTGGGTTCACAAGTGCCACCTAGTGGTTAAAGAATCTACTGCGTTATAATCACCAGTACTGTTGGACAACAGTGGCTGGCTCCAGGGCAAAAATCAAAACTAAACAAACAAAACCCGGGAAAATATACCTTGTCATGGCCATTTATTAAGGCTTTGTGTCCCCTCCACAAAGGGTTT